CAAGAGGAACACAATGAGGCCCAGTCCAAGACACAAGATAACTAAAATGGCAAATATCAAAGACAAAGAATCCTAAAATAATCAAGGGAGAAAGAGGTAAAATCATACAAGAGAGCACCGATATGGCTAGAAGTGAACTTCTCAATTGAAACACAATTAGCCATAAGAGAACGGCAAGAAATATTCCAAGTCATGAAAAGCAAAGGCCTGCAACCAAGACTTCTCTACCCAGCAAGGCTCTCAGTTCAAATGGAAGGCGAAATAAGGAGTTTCTCAGTCAAAAGAAGATTAAAAGAATACACCTCCAGCAAACCAGCACTGCAAGATATGCTAAAGGGACTGATTTCAGAAGATGAAGAAAAAGAGTGAGAAAGAGAAAAACACAGGTACAAAGGGGAAAAAAATGAATAAGTACCTATCAGTAATAACTTTAAATGTAAATGGATTAAATGCCCCAGTGAAAAGACAAAGGGTAGCTGAATGGATAAGAAAACATGACCCACACATATGCTGCCTACCAGTGCCGCACCTCAGAACAAAGGACTTACATAGACTGAAAGTAAAAGGATGAAAAAGAATATTCCAAGCAAATGGACAGGGAAAATAAAAAAGCTGGGGAAGCAATAGTTACATCACACAAAGGCCATAAAAAGAGTCCCATAAGGACACTTCATAAACTCAAAATAAGAATCCATCAAGAAGACATAAACATTGTAAATCTATATGTTCCCAACATAGGAGAACGCAAATATATAAGGAAAATCTTGGAGGACTTCAAGAAAGATATAGACAGGAACACAATGATAGTAGGGGATTTTAACACCCCTCTGTCAACCATGGATAGATCTTCCAAACAATATTATCAACAAGGATATTGTGGAACTGAACGATGCATTAGATCAAACTGACATATATAGAACGTTTCATCCCAAAGAAGCAAAATGCACATTCTTTTCTAATGTACATGGAATATTTTCAAAGACAAACCACATGATAGGACACAAAACAAGCATCAACAAATTTAGGAAAATTGAAATCATAACAAGCATTTTCATTGGCCACAAGGGTCTGAAATTAGAAACATCCTCATGGAAAAAGCTCAAAAACATTCAAACTCATGGAGACTGAATACCACACTATAAAACAAAGACTGGGTTAATAATGAGATCAAGGAAGAAGTCCAAAAGTTTGTGGAAACTAATGAAAATGAACACACTACAGTCCAAAACCTATGGGACACAGAGAAGGCAGTCCTGAGAGGGAAGTTGTTAGCAATACAGGCCTACCACAAAAGATAGAAAACTTTCAAATAAACGACCTGACCCAACAGCTTCAAGAACTGGAGAAAGAACAACAAACAAAGCCCGGTGGAAGTATAAGGAAGGAAATAATCAAGATCAGAGAAGAATTGAATGACATAGCGACTAAAAGAACAATTCAAAGGATCAACCAATCCAGGAGATGATTCATTGAAAAGATAACAAATAGACAAGCATTTAAGCAGAATCTTCAAGAAAAAAATTGAGATGACCCAAATAAATACTGTTGGAAATTAAAATGGAGAAATAACAATTGTTACCACAGAAATACAAAGGTTTGCAAGAAATTACTATGAACAATTATATGCCAGGAAATTTGAAATCCTCAATGAAATGGATAAATCTCTAGAAAAAATAAAACCTTCCAACACTGAACGAAGGAGAGGAAGGAAGCCCAAACAGATTGATAATGGCTGACGAAATCAAAGCAGTAATCAGAAGACTCCCAGCACACAAAAGCTCTGAACTGGACGGTATCACAGGAGAATTTTACAAAATATTTAAGGAAGAGCTAACCCCTGTCCTTCTCAGACTATTCCATAAAATTCAAGAGGAGGGAAAACTCCCAAATTCTTTTTATGAGGCAAGCATCATTCTTTTCCCAAAACCAGATAAGGACATAACAAAGAAAGAAAACTACAGGCCAATATTGCTGATGATAGTAGATGCTAAAGTCCTCAACAAAATATTGGCAAACCACATCCAGCAATACATTAAAAACATCATCCAGCATGATCAAGTGGGATTCATCCCAGGGATGCAAGGATGGTTCAATATTTGCCAATAAATAAACATAATACATCACATAAACAAAAGGAGAGGCAAAAACTACATGATCATATCAATAGATGTAGAAAAAGCATTTAATAAGGTACAACATCCATTTATGATAAAAACACTTAGCGAAGTGGGAATAAAGGGGGCATACCTCAACATAATAAAGGCCATATATGAAAAAAACTAGAGCCGACATCATACTTAGTGGATAAGAACTAAAATCTTTCCCACTGAGATTGGGAACATGACAAGGATGTCCACTTTCACTACTTCTATTCAATATAGTATTGGGGGTCCTAGCCACAGCAATCAGACAAGAAAAAGAAATAAAAGGCATCCAAATGGGAAAGGAGGAAGTAAAACTAACATTGTTTGCAGATGATGTGATAGTGTAAATATAAAATCTCATAGACTCCAACAAAAAACTACTCAACCTAATCAGTGAATTTGTCACAACAGTGGGATACAATGTCAATATTCAGAAATCATAGGCATTTTTGTATAACAACAATGATATATCAGAATCAGAAATCAGGAAAAAAAACCATTTGATATAGCAACAAGAAAAATAAAATACCTAGGAATAAACATAACCAAGGAGGTAAAAGACCTTTATGCAGAAAGCTATACAACACTGAAGAAAGAAATTAAGGAATACACAAATAAATGGAAGCATATACTATGTTTACGAATTAGAAGAATTAACATTATCAAAATGTCCATACTACACAACGCAATTTATAGATTCAATGCAATCTTTGTGAAAATACAATGATATATTTCACAGATATAGAACAAACATTTAAAAATTTTATATGGAACCAAAATTGACCCCAAATAACAACAGCAATTTTGAGAAAGAAGAATCAAGTAGGAGGCATCACAATACCTGAAGTCAAAGTATATTACAAGGCCATTGTAATCAAAACCGTCTGGAACCAGCATATGAACCAGAACATAGATAAATTGAACAGAATAGAGAGCTCAGAAATAAACCAATGTCTCTATGGTCAATTAATATTTGACAAAGGGGGCAGAAGCATAAAATGGAATAAAAATAGCCTCTTCAACAAATGATGTTGGGAGAGCTGGACAGCTACATGCAATCAACTGATATTCAACCACCAATTTACACCACACACAAAAATAAACTCAAGATGGTATAAATGACTTAAATATAAGTCACGACATCATAAAAGTTCTAGAGGAGAACATAGGTAGCAAAATCTCAGATATCTCACACAGTAATATTTTCACCTATATGTCTCCTAGATCAAGGTACATAAAAGAAAGAATAAACAAATGGGACTTAATCAAAATAAGAAGCCTCTGCATGGCTAAAGAAAATATCAGCAGAATGAAAAGGGAACCAACTGTATGGGAAAATATATTTGCCAATGAAACCTAGGACAGGAGTTTGATCTCTAAAATATATAAAGAACTCACACTACTCCAGTCCAGGAAGACAAACAATCCAAATAAAAAATGGGCAAAGGACCTGATCAGACTCTTCTCCAAGGAGGACATACACAAGGCTCAGAGATATATGAAAGGATGCTCATCATCACTAGCCATCAGAGAAATGCAAATGAAAACCACAATGAGATATCACTTCACACTGGTCAAAATGGCCATCATAAACAGATCAACAAACAACAGGTGTTGGTGAGGTTGTGGAGAAAAGGGAACCCTAGTACACTGTTGGTGGGAATGCAGACCGGTTCAGCCAACGTGGGAAACAGTTTGAAATTTCCTCAAAAAGCTGAAAATGGAACTGCCTTTTGACTGAGTGATTCCACTGCTGGGATTATACCCTAGGAGTCCCAAATCACCAGTTCAAAAGAACCTATGCACCCCAGTGTTCATAGCAGCACAATTTATAATAGCCAGTGATGGAAACAAGCTAAGTACCCATCAATAAATTAGTGGATCAAAAAAACAAAAAAACAAACTATGGTACATTTACACAATGGAATACTACGCAGCAGAAAGAAAGAAAGAAAGAAAGAAAGAAAGAACTACTACCCTTCACGACAGCATGGATGGAACTGGAGAACTTTATGTAAGTGAAATAAGCCAGGGGTTAAAGACAAATACCATATGATGTCACCTATAAGTGGAACCTAATCAACAAAACAAACAAACAAGGAAAATATAACTAGCAACATTGAAAGAAAAAAGAAACACACAGTAAGGAGAGGGAAGGAGAGAGGGATGTAACGGGGAAAGGATGGGGAAGTGTCAAATCAAGGAACATGTAGAAATGATCCAGGGACAAAGCCAAAATGGGGAAGGATTGAGGAAGGGATGTTTCAGTAGGTGGGGCAGGGGAAAGTGGTGGTGGGAAAATGCAAACAAATGTATTTGAACAATAAAAAAATTTAAGAAAATAAAATGTCCATTTTTTTATTGTTCTATTACAGTTGTCCCAATTTTCCCCATTCCTTTCCCCTTTCCCACCCACCTCCCACTCCCACAGTCAATCCCCACTCTGTTGTCCATGTCCATGGGCCATTTATACTTATTCTTTAACTAGGCCCTTCTCCTTTCTTATAATGAGTGTTAAGTGTTGTAATGTGGCACTGACTCCATATTTCAGAGCCAGTTCCTCATCCCCAATTAAAGCTCCCCTCAAACCATAATACCTCTTATTTTGGCTAAGATATTGATTGTTGATTATGCTTGCACATGTCCCTTCACCCTTAACCATCTGAGTTGTAGCTACCTGTAACTGAATCCCAGGGAAACAGTGCGATCTGTGCCCTTCAAACCTTAACAAACATATCTTAACACTCAACCCTGAGCATGTTTGCATAAGATAGGATGTTGTTAAGACCAATGAGCTTGAGCTATGAGGTAGAACCTGAAGGTGATGTTTTAAAATGCCTCTGTGGACACACTCACTGGGATCCCATTAATGCCAAGAAAGTCGGGAACTCCCAAGTGATGCAAAAAAAAGAGCAGGAAGAGGAATGTAAGAAATAACACAATTGATCTCCATTTGATTGAGTTTGTTCATGTGATTAATGACCTAAGTTGTTAAGAAACATTTTGTACTCCCTTTTCCATATTGTATCACCTTGCTCCCTACTCCTCTTTTGTTTTTTGTTTTTTTTATTTCCTAGATGCCCTTTATTTCTATTTTTAATATTTTTTATTTTGAAATAATTTTAAACTTACAGAAAAAGTACACAAACAGCACAAAAAATTCCATATATCTTTCACTCAGAGATCTCATTCAAACTTTTTTTTCTGGGTTTTCTTATTTTTATTAGTCTATCAAACATAGGAAGTTTTTTGGAGTTTCCATGGTGATTTTTTTCTCTTTTCTTTTTTCTTTTTTAATTTAATTTTAATTTATTTTTTCAAATACATTTGTCTCTGCCTACCTCCCAGCACATTCCCTTGCCCCCTCCCTCCTTCCCTCTCTCAGCTCTTCCCTTTTAGTTTTGTCCATGAGTCCTTGCTGTATGTTCCTTGACTTTCCCCTTCCCTTCCTATTCCCCGACCCCCTCCATCCTTCCCTCTTGTCTCTGTTGATTTCTTTTCTTTCAGTGTTGCTAGTCTTATTTTCCTTGAATCATTGTATTGTCGGTTAGGTTCCACTTATAGGTGAGATCATACGGTATTTGTATTTAACCCCCTGGCTTATTTCGCTTAGCATAATGCTCTCCAGTTCGATCCATGCTGTCACAAAGTTTAGTAGTTCTTTTTTTCTTTCTGCTGTGTAGTATTCCATTGTGTATATGGACCATCATTTTTTGACCCACTCATATACTGATGGGCATTTATGTTGCTTCCAACACTTGGCTATTGTAAATTGTGCTGCTATGAACATTGGGGTGCATAGGTTCTTTGTATTGGCATTTTGGTATTCTTAGGGTATATTCCCAGCAGGGGAATCACTGGATTCAAAGGCAGTTCCATTTTCAGCTCTTTGAGGAAATTCCACACTGCTTTACACAGGGGCTTCAAGTGTCTGCATTCCCACCAACAGTGTACTAAGGTTCCCTTTTCTCTACAGCCTTGCCAGCACCTGTTCTTTGTTGATCTGTTTATGATGGCCATTCTGACCGGTGTGAGGTGGTACCTCATGGTGGTTTTGATCTGCATTTCTGACAGCTAGTGATGCTGAGTATCCTTTCAAATGCCTCTGGCCTCTCTGTATCTCCTCCTTGGAAAAGATGCTGCCCAAGTCCTTTGCCCATTTTTTGACTGGATCCTTTGTCTTCTTGGATTGGAGTCGAGTGAGTTCTTTATATATCTTGGAGATCAAACTTCTATCTGATGTATCATTAGCGAATATATTTTCCCATAAGGTTGGCTCCCTTTTCATTTTGCAAATGGGCATGAGAAAAAGGCCAGGGATGCCATACTTGTATCAGACAAAGTAGATTTAAAAACAAAGGCCATAAAAAGAGACCCAGAGGGGCACTTTATAATACTTAAAGGAAGAATCTATCAAGAAGACGTCAACATTGTAAACTTATATGCTCCCAATATAGGAGCCCGAAGTTTATAAAGCAATTGTTGGATGACTTCAAAAAAGATATAGACAGCAACACACTGATAGTAGGGGATTTCAACACCCCAGAGTCAAAAATGGACAGATCTTCCAAACAAAACATTAATAAACATATCGTGGCGCTGAAGGACACACTGAATCAAAGAGACTTAACTGACATATATAGAACCTTATATCCCAAAGAAGAAAAATACACATTCTTTTCAAATGCTCATGGCAGTTTTCAAAGATAGACCACATGATAGGACATGAAGAAAACCTCGGCAAATTCAGGAAAGTTGAAATAATACCAAACTTTTTCTCGGACCACAAGGGATTGAAACTGGAAATCAGCCTCAAAGAGAAACTTCAAAAACTTGCACACTCATGGAGACTCAACAGTAGGCTATGAAACAATGAATGGGTCAATAATGAGATAAGAGAAGAAATCCAAAAAATTCTGGAAACAAATGAAATAGAACAGACAACAGTTCAAAACCTATGGGACACAGCAAAGGCGGTCCTGAGAGGGAAGTTCATAGCAATACAGGCTTACCTAAAAAAGACAGAAACATTTCAAATGAAAGACCTAACACTACAACTTCAAGAACTGGAGAAACAACAACAAATAAATCCCAGAGCAAGGAGAAGGAAGGAAATAGTCAAGATTAGAGCAGAACTGAATGACATAGAGACAAAAAGAACAATTCAGAGGATCAACAAATGCAGAAGCTGGTTCTTTGAAAAGATAAATAAAATTGACAAGCCTTTAAGCAGACTCATCAAGAATAGAACGGAGAGGACCCAAATTAATAATATCAGAAATGAAAAAGGAGAAATAACAACTGATACCGCCATTTGATATAGCAAGAAGAAAAATAAACTACCTAGGCATAAATTTAACCAAAGACTTAAAAGACCTGTACGCAGAAAATTATACAACATTGAAAAAAGAAATGAAAGAAATACAAAGGATCGTCAGAAACTATGAACAATTATATGCCAAGAAATTTGAAAACCTGGATGAAATGGACAAATTTCTAGAAAAGTGTAATCTACCAACACTGAAGGAGGAAGAAACAGAAAGCTTGAACAGACTGATATCAGCTGGGGAAATTGAAGCAGTCATCAAGAAACTCCCGGCACACAAAAGCCCAGGGCAGGACGGTTTCACAGGAGAATTTTACAAAACATTGAAGGAAGAGCTAACCCCTGTCCTTCTCAGACTATTCCAAAAAATCCAAGAGGAGGGAAGACTCCCAGACTCTTTCTATGAGGCCAGCATCACCCTGACCCCAAACCCAGATAAAGACCCTACAAAGAAAGAAAACTACAAGCCAATTTCGCTGATGAACATAGATGCTAAAATCCTCTACAAAATATTGGCAAACCGCATCCAGCAATACATTCAAAAGATTATCCACCACGATCAAGTGGGATTCATCCCAGGCATGCAGGGATGGTATAATATACGCAAATCAGTAAACGTGATACATCACATAAAGAAAAGAAAAGACAAAAACCACATGATCATCTTGATAGATGCAGAAAAAGCATTCGATAAGGTACAGGACCCATTTATGATCTAAGCACTCAGCAAAATGGGAATAAATGGGCCATTCCTCAATGTAATAAAGGCCATATATGAAAAACCTACAGCCAATATCATACTCAACTGGCAAAAAGTGAAAGCTTTCCCACTAAGATCGGGAACACGACAAGGATGTCCGCTCTCACCACTTGTTTTCAACATCGTATTGGAAGTCCTAGCCACAGCAGTCTGACAAGAGAAAGAGATAAAAGGCATCCAAATAGGAAAGGAGGAAGTAAAACTATCATAGTTTGCAGATGGCATGATAGTGTACATAGAGAACCCTGTAGACTCTACCAAAAACCTCCTCAACTTAATAAGTGAATTTGGCAAAACAGCAGGATTCAAAGTCAACATTCAGAAATCAAAGGCATTTTTGTACACCAACAATGCAATAGAAGAAGAGGAAATCAGAAAAAAAATACCATTCGATATAGCAAGAAGAAAAATAATCTACCTAGGCATAAATTTAACCAAAGATATAAAAGACCTGTATGCAGAAAATTATACAACATTGAAAAAAGAAATGAAGGAAGACACAAATAAATGGAAGCATATACCGTGCTCATGGATTGGAAGTATTAATATCATCAAAATGTCCATACTACCCAAAGAAATTTATAGATTCAATGCAATCCCTATAAAGATACCAATGACATATTTCACAGAAATAGAACAGACATTTCAAAAATTCATATGGATTCATAAATGACCCCGAATAGCCTCAGCAATTTTGAGGAAGAAAAACAAAGTAGGAGGGATGACAATACTGGACATCAAACTCTACTACAAAGCCACCATACTCAAAACAATCTGGTACTGCCACAAGAACAGACCCATAGACCAGTGGAACAGAATAGAAAGCCCAGAAATAAGCCTAGGTCTCTATGGGCATCTAGTATTTGACAAAGGGGGCAGAAGCACAAAATGGAGCAATAATAGCCTCTTCAACAAATGGTTTTGGGAGAGCTGGATGGCTACATGCAAAAAATTGAAATTGGATCATCAGCTGACACCATACACAAAAATAAACTCAAGATGGATAAAAGACTTAAATAGAAGTCGCAACACTATCAAAGTCCTAGAGGAGAACTTTGGCAGGAAACTCTCAGATATCCCACGCAGCAATTTTTTCACTGATATGTCTCCTAAAGCAAGGGACATAAAGGAAAGAATAAACAAGTGGGACCTCATCAAAATAAGAAGTTTTTTCCCGGCAAAAGAAATCATCTACTGTGTTCTTCAATTCAGAAATGGTATTCTTCATATCCTTTTGTGTCTTCTTGATAGTTTCGATGTTATTTTCCAGGCTGATGTAGTTTGCTGTAATATCCTGATAGTTCCTCTGCAGTTTCTCATAGTTATCTTTGAGCTGGCTGAGCTCATTGAGCTTCCTTAGAACCATTGTTTTGAATTCAATATCTGATAGTTTCCTTGTCTCTATTTCATTTAGCTCTCTCTGTGGGGAGTCCCCTTTTCCACTCATTTGAGGGGAACTTCTTTTTCTTCCCATTTTTGTGAGAGTCTGTTAAGTATTTTTGTCCTTTACTTTTCTTTCTGGGCCTGCCTCTGATCATTTCAGTTGTGGACCCTATATGACCTTTGGTTGTTTGTTTGAGCCTTCCAGGAGTCTACATTCTGTGTCTGAGTCCTGCTTGGGGTAGCTCTGTGACCCCTTCGGTCAGGCTGGGCTATTTTTTAGGATTGCTCTGCACTCTCATGCTGGCTCCTTGAGTGTGCTCCCGGAGCGGCAGGATCCCCCACCTTCCTGGGCTCACATGTGCTTGCCCCAGACCAGAGGGCTTATTCGTGACCTCTTGTCCTCATCTGACCACCCTGGCTGGCGAGCTCCCCGGCACTGGTCAGTTTAGGGTCTTCTATTGTGTGTTTTCCCCGCTTTTGGCTCTTTGGGTGCATTGCTTGCCCTCGCCAAATGGGTACTACGGAAATGGGAGGAAATCAGCTCCAGGACTCTCCTGTTAATCCTGTCTCCGGTCTCTCTTCCAGGGACTCTGGGCAGCTCTGTGACCCCTTCGGCTGGGGTTCTACTAATTTTGTGGGCCGCTCCTCAATCGCGGAGGGCCGGGTCAATTTTTGCCTGCCCTTGCCACTCTGTGCACTCCCTTCTAGGCCATATCGGTGCCAATCTGTGGGAGGCCTTGCCGGCCGGTGCAAACATTCGCCAGCCCGCGCGGGTCACACACACGCTCGCCAACCCTCACCGGTCACTCGGCACAAGTGTGCACGCCTGCACTGGCTGTTTTGGGGTGTCTATGTGTGATTTTCAGCTTTTGGCTCTTTCGGGGTGTGGCCTCTTCCTGCACAGTGGAGACTACGGCAAGGAGGATTTGGGACTCCCCAGTTCCTCCTCCCGTTCTTTCCCCAACGCCTCTGTTTCTAGTCTCTCCTCAGGGGTCTCTGGGCAGTTCTGTGACCCCTTCGGCCGAGGATCCACCACCTGTGTGGCCTGCATTTCAATCACAGGCAGTCTGGTTCCTGCACGCCCCTCTTCTGTCTCTTTGGGGGCGCGCCTTTCCAGCCCGCAATGGAGACTGCCAAACGGGGAGGGAGTCGGGACTCCCCAGTTTCTTCTCCCATTCTTTCCCCAATGCCTCTGTTTCTAGTCTCTCCTCAGTGGCCTCCAGGCAGTTCCGTGACCCCTTTGGCCAAGGATCCAGCCCATGTGCGGACTGCCTTTCAATCGCAGGCAGTCTGGTTCATACGCGCCCCCCTTCTGCCTCTTTGGGGTCGCGCCTTTCCAGCTCACAATGGAGACTACAGAATGGGGAGGGAGTCAGGACTCTCCGGTTCCTCCTCCCATTCTTTCCCCAATGCCTCTGTCTGGAGTCTCTCCTCCAGGCTCTCCCAGCCAGTCTGCACTCAGTACCCCAGCTCACATGCACAAGCTGTGTACGGAGCACACAAAAGGCAGGTTAATTGATTCCCTTATGCCTGAGCGAGATGGTAGCTGCAGAGTGGGATGTGCATTATCACCTGGGCTCCACCAGCCGCTGTGTCAGTTCCCCTACTCCTCTTTTGAAGTGATCACTTGCCTCTACCTAAGGTCTCAGATATTTGTGTGTTATAAGACCAATTCTTGTCTTAGGCAATGTATTGTAAGACCTAAAATTAAGGCTGAATATTATATGCTGCCTTGACCTTTGGGCAAACGAGGACGGCCTTAAATTGCCTAACTACAAGTCCCCATCTCCACTCTGCTCCTGCAGATAAGGTCTCCTGGGCAAATAACCCTCATAATCAAACAGATAAGATGCAGTCCTGCTTATCCCTGAGTAGTAGGTTTCAGTTCTTTGTTGGCCCACTGAATTATTCAAATAAGTCAATCACATTCTCCCTCAGGAACCAAGGGGCACCTCACCTCCTTCACACCACAAAGTTTGCTTCTCATAGCTTCTTCTCGTTTATTCTGATCCCGAGTGCAACTCCTGCATGGCCCTACATAGTGTGTGGTGTTCCCCTCCCCTGTGCTGTGGGTAGATGTGACTAATAAACCTGTTGTCCATCTCTTCTGTTCAACATCATGTGTCATAACTTTTGCCATCCCAAGGACCCTAGAGTGGGAAACTCTCCCTCACCAGTGGGGTAAAGAAGAGATGACTAAATCAGCAGGGAACATAAAGTGAGCTGCCAAACTCAGTCAGTCAAGCACCGTGACACAACCAAGCTCCTTTCTTGCATCTTTACCCCCATATTCATGGCCTAGATGTCTTCTAAGCACTCTGAGCCCTTGCTCCTCAGTCACCTTGCCTTGTATTTATTACTTCTGACTGATGCCCAGTTCAAACCCATACGACTTTCCAGAACAGTGAATCCATTTGTCTAGCAAGTAGCTAATACTTGCACTTTATGGTTTACTTGCCATGGGAGTCTTTCCAGAAATGGGCTGATCCATTAGTATCATATCATTAAGCCTGTCCTTTGTTAAAATATGTAACCCAACACCACAATTTTCAGGGTTAGTGTTATTTTCACTAACAGAACCGAGATCCTGTGTTAGTGAAAACACAGATTCATTATTTCATTATTCATTATTCTGAAATTCATTATTACAACAGAACCGAGATTTAGAACCTTTCATCTTCATACTTTTGATCCATGAGCCGAAAGAAAATCAAGGTTTGATTTTCTTACATTATTCCCTTTTGGTCCATATGGTCGCAGAGGGCCTGGGAGCCTCTTTCTCCTTTTAACCCTGATAAATCACTAGAACCAGTAAATCCTTGAGGACCTGTTGGACCTTGAATTCCAATTGGTCCTGGTTGCCCCTAAGATGTAAAAAAATTACAATTATTTAACAGAAGACTTAACATCAACACTTCTCATTTTCCCATGCACAGACAATGCTGTCAACACTTCACTAAATGATTTTGGCTTAGAGATCTGTCAAGCATGCCAAAGTTCCAGACACAGATCAGAAAAAGGCTATTTTAGGGGCTGCTAAACTTATTTGGCTAGAACATATTTTATAAGCACATTTAATAAGATTAATGTACATGAAGACCCTTGAACTTTGTAGGAGATTAATTCTTCAGGATGGATAATATTGTCCTCTTCCTAGTTAATATAAATTCATCCATTAGATTGTCAAAATAGTTAAAGAACACAACATTGAAAAGCATCATGACATTTTATAACTGATGTCCAAATGGCCAACTGCATGCTTGCTGTGAAGTCCAGAAATGGCTGTGCCTAAAGAACACTATCTGGGGTCCACCAAGGGGAGAACCCAGAAACCCATGGGCCAGCAAATATGTAAGAGCTCATCTTTGTTGGCAGATATTAGGACCCCAAAACTGCAACTGGAAACAGATGCTCACAGGAAAGGCACATACACATGCGCGCTCATGTTGTTTATTTTCTCCCTTCCTATCTCTCTCTGCTTCCCTTTACTCCTGCCAACTGCACAGGATTGAAGGTGTAAAATCCAAGGAGCCTGAGAATATCCATTAAGTATTAATTATTATAGCAAGAAGAAGAATCCTAAGGGTTTCAAATACCCTGGTTATAAAATGTCTGTAGCAATTAAGTCTGAGAGTTCAAGCTGACATTTTAAAGCTGACTGAGACAGAGAATTAACCCGAATGGTTGCCACACATGTGGGTTAGTCTATAATTTAGTACAAACACCAGCAAGGACAGAATTTTCTTGACAGAAAATTAAAACCATTAGTAGTTTTCATTACCTTTCAGAGAACACAACACCATATCAGGTAGAGAGCCTATTTTCATAAATATTTCCCATCTCCAGCTCTCTGCCCCTTTACTAACTGTCTTCAATTTCCTAAAGATCTGTGAAAAACTCTGAGAAAACCCCATTAAATATGCCCTTTAACATTCACTTTCAAGTTTTACTTTTTAAAAGGCTGAAAATAGAACAGATGCTTTATGTGGTGGATAGAGTCGCGTACTAAAGATGCAAGTGGCCACCAGCTGTACAGGGCTTTTGTAGTAAAATTTCCAGTGTCAATAAGGCCCATGAAGATTTAGAAGTCTTGTAAAAAAAAAAGTAAAAGATGCTCTTCCCATGGAGATGCAATTCTCTGGGGATTCTACCCACCACTCTACCTTCCATGACACCCAGCATGCTTGCAGCATACAAAGGATGCTAGGATGGAAAGTGTTTAATGGGCTTATTTCAGGGAATGATGGGATGGGAGTTGAGCTTTCACTTTTTATGCTCTTACTTTCTGTTGTTGGAATTTTGTTTATAATGATTCTGTTATTTATTACTCTTATGAATTTTTACACATACATACATACATACATACAGGTCTGTCCAGAAGGTATTCAGCCATGTAATATGAAAAATAGAGGCATTTATAGAAGAAGATACAAGATACAAGAAACATTGTACATAGGGCAATGAAACCTCAGTACCCTTCAAAGTAGGCAGGCAACTTGGGACCTCACACATTGCTCCCAACTGCCATCAGCTGCTCCATCGTATTTTCCTGAATTTCTTCGATGGCCTGAAATCTCTTCCCTTTCAAAGGTGATTTTAGTTTTGGGAAGAGCCAGAAGTCACAAGGCACCAAAACTGGGTTGTAGAGGGGCTGAGTCACCTGGGTGATTTGATGTTTTGCCAAAAAACTCTGCACACACATGATGCATGAGCAGGCAAGTTCTCGTGATGAAGCTGCCAATCACAAGTTGCCCATAGCTGAGACCTTCTGAATTATCATCCCAATGGTTTCCATAGAGGAATGTTCAAGCTTACAGCAAAATTTGATACAGATTCATTGCCCTACCCACTCAATCATTATGAAGGTGATGGCCACACAGTATACATGCTCACTCACCTGCATCTATCACCCCCACTGATAAGTAGAGTGAAGTTGTCATTGTTCATATATGTGCATTCCAGTCCACTCTCCTTGGCTGCCAGGTTACATCAATGTCACACAAACCATTCTCATTATATTAACAATGACTGGACTTATTCCAGACAGACATTGAAAAAAACCAGAATCATCTTCTGGAGGGTAAGCCCCTTGTAGTGCAAGCTTTACCTGCTAGGTGAGTGTTCAAGGAACCCATCTGTATCAGTGTACTAGCTAGCACTGTTGTGAGAGGCTGCATTCAACTTCAGGGAATTTTTTTTTTTAGAGGGTGACATTTTATTATTTATTTATTTTGTTTTTTTAAAAAATTTAAAATCATATTTATTCTGTTACAGTTGTCTCAAATTTCCCCCCTTTGCTCTCCTCCACCCATCCCACCATGCCTGCCACTTCGACAGTCAATGCCCACTCTGTTGTCCATATGCATCGGTCATTCATACAGGTTATTTGTCTAGACCCTCTCCTTCTTTCCACCATTGTCCTTCTTCCCCATCCCCTCTGGTCACTTTCAGTCTGCTCCATGTTTCCATGCCTGTGGTTTATTTTTTTCATTAGTTTATTTTGTTGAATAGAGTCCACTTATAGGTGAGATCATATGGTATTTGTCTTTCATGAACTGGCTTATTTCACTTAGCATAATATTCTCCAGTTCCACCCAAGTTGTCTCAAAAGGTAAGAGTTCCTTCTCCTTTCTTTTTTTTAAATGAAGATTGATTTTACTTATTTATTTTTTAAATGTCAAAATCCATTATAAAATATTAAAAAAATTAAATTCACCCTTGGAAAAACGTCTGCCCAGGTCCTTTGCCCATTTTTTTTTTATTGGATCATTTGTCTTCTTGGAGTGGAGTTGTGTGAGTTCTTTGTATATTTTAGAGATCAAACCCCTATCTGATGTATTATTAGCAAATACATTTTCCCATATGGTTGGCTCCCTTTTCATTTTGCTGATGTTTTCCTTAGCCGTGCAGAAGCTTCTTATTTTGATGAGGTCCCACTTGTTTATTCTTTCATTTATGTCTCTTGTTCTAGGAGAGATATCAGTAAAAAAAAATTGCTGCATGGGATATCAGAGTTTCCTGCCAATGTTCTCCTCTAGGACTATTACGGTGCTGCGACTTTTATTTAAGTCTTTTATCCATCTTCAGTTTATTTTTGTGTATGGTGTCAGCTGATGATCAAATTTCAATTTTTTGCATGTAGCTGTCCAGCTCTCCCAACAGCCTTTTTTAGAGGGCCCAGAGACATTTGAAAGGATGCTCGGCAGCACGAGCCATCAGAGAAATGCACATCGAAACCACAATGAGATACCACATCACACCGGTCAGAATGAACATCATAAACAGATCAACAAACAACAGGTGCTGGTGAGGCTGTGGAGAAAAGGGAACACTAGTACACTGTTGACAGTGTCTCCTCAAGTGCCTCTAGTCTACTCTGTGCCCCTGTTAGCCAGGGATTTACTGTCTGTGGCTGATACTCTGTCATCAGCTGTCAGGCTTCAGCACTACTGGGCCAGGGCCAAGTCCCTCCCAGTGGCAGGGCTATTGTGTCCTCTCATGCTGTTGCTGCCCAGGGGAGTTGTCTGCCTGAGCAAGATGGCTTCTGCCATATGGGCAATAAGTCTGCACCAGAATCCCTCCGGCTCTTCCCTCAGCTCTCCCTAAAGCCTCCTTCCCCAGTCTCTCCTCAGATGTCTCTAGCCCACTCCGCCCTGCGTTTTCTGGAGACCAGGTTAAGTGGCAGTTACGTTGTGCTAAAGCTGATTCTTCTATCTGCCCAAGGTTATAAGGCTCCTCTCTCACTATTGTTGAGTTGTCTGTTCCAGGTGATTTCTCTACATTTTAGTTTAATTCCAGATTGGTCCTGGGAGGAGATCAGTGTGACTTCCATTCACTCCTTTGCCATCTTGATTTCCTGAATTTTTTTGAAGCATCTTTCAATGCGTTTGCCCATTTCATGATGGGTTATTTTACAAGTGCACTTGCCCACACTGCACTGAGTTTTCAGCAGTTTTTGATCCAAAACAGCAAGACCCCTGTGTCCCACCCTCCTTATTTGCCCAATCTTGCTCCAAGTCACCTTTTTGTTTGTTTGTTTCTTTGGTTGAAAAAAGTCCCCAAAGAGAAATGTTTTGTCTGTGTGGAAGAGGTGAAACAAAAAACACAGATACACTAAAAGGTATCAAAGTCGACGAGTTTGAAAACTATTTTGAGCCATGGAATAAACGTCTCGAGAGGTGTATTGCATCAAATGGAAAGTACGTTGAAGGTGATGGAAGTTTAAACATGTAAGAAAAATATACAATTTTTTTAAATAAATAAATCTGCTTTTGGGGGCTTCCCCTTTGTAAATATATATGTGAAACTAAAAAATAAATAAATAAAAAAGAACAATACTTAAAAAAATAGTGTAGGTCCCTGACTGTTGTGGCCCAATGGGTTGCTATCATCCTGCAAAGCAGAAGTTTGCCAATCAGGGCACATGCTTGGGTTGTGGGCCAGGCCCCCAGTTGGGGTGCATGTGAGAGGCAACCAATTGGTGCTTCTCTCTCACATTGATGTTTCTCTCCCTCCTTTCCCCTCTCTCTAAAAATAAGTAAAATCTTTAAAAAAATAAAATAAAATAAAAATAGTGTGGGGTTGCTATTGAGAATTAACAAAGAAGTCTAAAATGTGAGTCTAGCTTGAACACTAATGTACACAAATCTATAGCAAACAGTACAAGTCCAGAACAGAGCATAAGTGGCATAAGAACACAAAGGAAGGGTTGGTCGTGGAGAATTTTTGGAATGCTTACATTCTGTCCATGCCTGGGGCGGGGAGTCATGGGCCACACTAGAAAGGCTGAGTGGGCCCCAACTGAAGTGGGTCTTAAAAGCAAGGCAGGAAAGCTGAGGAATTGATGTGGTAGGAAATAAAGAAC